TTTATGAATGAGATGCTCAGTCTATGTTTTTATTTTAACTATGTCACCCAACCCTTGGAACTCGTAATATCAAATTCAGTAAAAGTTATCAGTATAAGAAAATATTTATAAGAATCGGAAATAATTATATTCTTTACCTCTTTGTATAATATCCAATCGGTTGATTAGACAGATGGAATATATTGACTTTTACTAATAACCCGATTTTGAACACTCTGCTTACTTTATGCTCTTATTTAAGGGATTATCTATTATTATGTCTATTAGTTTCCATGTATTTATTTATAGATTACTAAATGTTCATCGAGTTTGTTGTTATATCTTTGAATATGTTTGAAAATCTATTTCTGGTGTTCTTGCGCTATTTCTGTCAAATTTGTCATAAAGTTTTTAAGTTTTAACATGTCGCGTTTTTCTTTCAAACAACCAAAGCCGCCTATTAAAAAAACGATTTTTACAAATTATGTGCATTTAAAAGCCACTATGCATATACCATTTTGTCTCCAATGTTGTCCAACTTATACAGGGTGGTCCGAATTTTATTCCGGAAACATCGGCAACATATTCTGCAGATAAAAGTAAGTCAAAAAGTTCGTATAAATGTATGTCCTAAAATGCGAAATGCTTAGTTTCTGAGATACAGGGTATAAAAGTTTCATTTTTATTTCGATTTTTTTCCAAATAATTTCTGCAGTAACGTCAATATTTGCATGAAAATTGGTGTCTGAAAGTTTATTGACATGAGAAATTTGATTTTGATGTCAATCTGACTCCTCCTAGTAGAGGGCGCCAACATATTTTTTAACTGGTTTGAAGAGTAATAACTTTTCGTCCGTACCTGTATAAAACTACTGAGTAAAAAAATATACATTTACGACGTTTTTTACGTAAAAAATGCTTTGGTAAAAATCGCTACGAGTATTGGTTTTCGAGATATTTGGAATTGAAATTATCAATACCTGTCATCATTGACATGATGACTAAATAGCGACTGAAATCATAAATTTGAAAGTTTTTGTGCCAAAAGTTCAAGAGAAACTATTTTATCATCATTGTTTTGCAGAAAAATTTATGATTAAGATAAAAAAATAAAAATTTCCCAAATTTATTATTTCAGTGAATTTAACTATTTACTCAACATGTTTATTTTTCGTCAATAATGACATGTATTGACTATTTCCATTCTAGATATCTTGAGAACGGTTGCTCGTAGCGATTTTTACAAAGAGATATTTATTACGTAAAAAATCATAGAAATGTATATTTTGTTCCTCGGTAGTTTTATACAGGTACGGACAAAAAGTTATTACGCTTCAAAACAGTTAAAACACATGTAGGTGGCGCCCTCTACCAGCAGGAGTGATATTGACATCAAAATCAAATTTTTCATGTCAAAAAACTCCTAGACACCAATTTCCATCCAAATATTGACGTTACTTCAGAAATTATTTGGAAAAAATCGAAATAAAAATGAAACTTCTACACCCTGTATCTCCGGAACTAAGCATTTTAGGAGATACATTCATACGAACTTTTTTACTTATTTTTATCTGCAGAATATGGTGCCGAAGTTTCCGGAATACAGTTCGGACCACCCTGTATGTGGAAAAACCATTCATTGAGTCAATTTATCGAACAACCCTCGTAGTGATTGATTCAGAACCTTGAAATCGCGCTGGACCCTCCTAGTTATTCAGATAATTAAAATGTCACAATGCCATTTTGCATTTCAGCCGATTCACGCACCAACTGAGTTCTTGTTCTTATTTTTTCTTCACTGGCTTGGCTCTCTTTCATTCTGTCTAGCTCAAACGAAATAATAGGCTATAATAATAGGAATATAGCTAGTAATAGGAATATCGTTAGGTGTTATTATCGTGTCTTGTAAAAGGTTGTTGCATTTTTATTGCTTAATTGGTTTGAACTTCTAGCTTTTGTGATATAGATCTTGCATAAAAAAGGTGGTATGTTTACAAAATGTTTCAGAGAAAATGACAAATTCGTCAAATGAAAATTTGTGATGACCAATAATTCTAAATATGGAAAATTTTGTTTAAAATTTAATTTTTTATGATACACTATACAATAATTAAGACTTTGAAAATTATTGTTATTGAATACATGTTGGTATTAAAGAACTGGACAAATCGCAAGGTCATAATTCATATAGAATAAAAATATGATAAAAAGTTAATTAAGTTTTGGAATAAGTATGAAATTATGCAGTTTAATTTGTAATAATCAATTTAATACGGAAATTCACATAAAATATACAGGGTTGTTCACCACATACGACACGGAGTACTGTAGCTAAACGATTAGATTTTTACAAATTGTAAGTTTTGGGTTCGTTGAAGGACTATTAGAGCTACAATTTAAAAATATTTTTACAAGATACAGAGTGTAATAAATAAAAAATATCAAAGTTGTATTTTTTTAAATGGAACACCCTGTATATTATTGCATTTTTAGTTTCTACGATTAAAATAAAGGTAAATTTTATTAAGGTTTATTACACTTAAACCTTACCGTTTTTGAAATATTTTCAATTTTACGAAATTGCAATATAAATTTTAAGGCTTCATTTCTCCGAGGATATCAAACTTTTTAATACTAAATATTTACTGAAGTTTATTTATTGATCAGTTATTGTGTTGCAATAATAAAAAATTATACCACCTTATATAGAGTGTCTAAAAATTTATTTTAAATAATTACTAGCTTTAAACGGCAACTTATTTACTTTAAATAGAACACCCAGTATATTTTATGAGAATCAAATGCACAATTTAATTGTCTATCAAATTGTGTTATACCATTTCTCACCTATACCTTTAAGTTTTCGTAGAAAATGCATTTTCTTATAATTTAGACCTCATTTATTAATATACCCATGGAATATTGACATTTTAGATTGTTTTATAACAACAAATGTACAAAATGTACAGACTAATAATACAGAGTAAGACATAATAATACAGACTCGAATAAGACAGAGTAATATTATCGTTTTACTAAAACGATAATATTACTAACATTTGTATGCTAAAAAGAAAACTATTTAAATCTTTATAAAAGAGTATACCATTAATTAAATATACCACCAGTATTTCCGCCCAAATACTAATTAACTACATACTTTTGTGTTCGTTAATAAATTATTCTAAATAAATGTGGATTTGAATCAGAAATCAATATAATAATAAGTTATGAAAATGAACGTCTCTGTTGTTATAAATAAGCATTTGTCAACAAATTAAATATAATTTTTAAGGTGTTACTTTTTACCACACTGTCTAATACACATACATAATTCAGTTTTTTAGTATTTGGAGCAATTATTATTAATCAACGCAAACAGTCAATTAATGTAGTTTGAATACTGAAATCGTATTAATTGGTTCTCTTTAACAAATATTTAAACAGTTTTTTTTAATTTTTTAATGAAATAAACGAAATATATCGACAATATTAGTATCTGTACTCTTTAAAAATTTGGTACATCTTTAAAAATAATCTAAAATGTCAGTATTCCATGGGTATATTGATAAATGAGTTCTAAATTACAAGAAAATGCATTTTCTACGGAAACTTGAAGAAATAGGTAAAAAATGGTATAATACAATTTGATAGACAATTAAATTGTGCATCTGATTCGCATAAAATCTACAGGGTGTTCCATTTAAATTTAACAAGTTATTGCCGTTTAAAGCTAAGTAATTATTTAAAATACATTTTAGACACTCTGTATAAGGTAGTAAAGTTTTATTATTGCAATACAATAACTGATCAATAAATAAATTTCAGTAAATATTTAGTATTAAAAACTTTGATATCCTCGGAGAAATGAAGCCTTAAAATTTATACTGCAATTTCACAAAATTGAAGATATTTCAAAAAACTACATGTAATAAACGTTAATCAAATTTACCTTTATTTTAATCGTAGAAACTAAAAATGTAATAATATATAGGGTGTTCCATTTAAAAAATAAACTTTGATATTTTTTATTTTTGGGATACTGTATCTTGTATTTATTTGGGATTGTAGCTCTGTATCCTTCAACGAACCCAAAACTTACAATTTGTAAAAATCTGGCCGTTTAGCTACAATACTCCGTGTCGTATGTGGTGAACAACCCTGTATATTCTGGAAAAACACCCCTGCACTATTCAGTAAGTAATCTATAATAAAGTTATGACTATTTTTAACAAATTTGAAGATTCTAAAACACATTTATTCAAAAAAACGTCTTCAGTTAGAAATTTTGCATAATTGCTGAATGTCCAGCAAATTGCATTGGGTCGATCCACTATGCGGCGTGGCGTCCGTTTGTCATTCATCATTCTCTCAAACCAATAATATTGAAATAGCATCGTCATTTTTGAAATAAACCAATAAAACTGGTTAAAAACAACAAGAGATGACATGAAATAAATGGATTGGTACGGACGTCATCTGCATTTTTTCTATCATCGTCTGTCGAAATCCTAATTGAGAAAAAAAAAACAGTATATTATCGAACAAACAAACTAGCTCCACTTTTGCTTGCTATTTCCTTTAATAGATAACAATAAATAACTATGATTTCGCATCGTGAAAGCCCACAATAAGTTACGATCTGAATTGTTTCAATATGAACTCGAAACAATATTTTGTACATCGTTTACGTTTTCAGCTTTACACTCTATTAAATTTACACAATAATCTTATTATTATCATGTCCATTTATTGTCAGTTTTGTTTCCTAATACTTTCAATAAAATATTTAGAACAAGTTTCAATATATTGTTTCAGAAACTTTCGATTTATAGACAAAGAATTTACTTATTGTGTCAGAAAATATGATTCGAGTCTTTTTGTGGTTATTATTCATACAAAATAAGATGTTAAATAAAAATAACTGTGACGGTAACTGAGGATATTTTTTTACACTCTAAACAACAAGAAAGTGTGTTTTAAACAAATATTGTAATATATTTTTTTTTCTTTTTTTTCAGTTAATATGTACGATAAGAGCGACTCATAAAATTAAGACAATTCCTGTGATAGTAAGACTGACAGATATCAACGATAATAGCCCACAATTTGTAGGAACGCCCTACGAAACTAGCATATCAGAAGTAAGTACAACACACTTAGATTATACCAGTGTTGCATACATTAATAAGGATGTACGCTGCTTATTTTTATATAAATATACAGGGTGTTCCTTAATGACATGCTAACATTTAAAGGGATGATTCTTAGATCTAGTCTAAGAAAAAAAAATCATATGAATATCTGGAATATATTAACTTTTGAGATACAGGGTGGTAAAATTTTCTATTTTTTTTTCATCACAACTCTAATGAAATTTGTTACATTTTTTCTATGCATCAAAATACATTTTTTTGATGCACATAAAAAATTATCTTTTAATTTCCTTCGAGGCTAAATAAAACACTAAATCACCACAATACACCAAAGGTTCCAACACCCCCAACTGTAATAATATATCTATAATAACATCAGAGTTTTTATGAAAAAACAAATTAGAAAATGTTACTACCGTGTTTGTCAAAAGTTAAGATATTATGATAATAAAAAAAATGCTTTAAATATTAGCATGGTTATTAAGTAACAGTTTGTATATTTAATTCAAATTGAAAATGTATCATATCAATGTTCAAATTAAATAATAAATATAACACATTTAAGCTTCATTGAAAACTTCGAAATTAGTGGAATAAATTTGTGGTTTCAATCATATTTTATACTAATGAATTTGCGATAAATTCACAATGTTTAAAAAATACAATAATTAAAATTAATAGAATATCCTAGCAACAGCTTGTGGTAGTCAGTTTGTATCCATAGCGAAAGCCTAATACATAAAAACCTTACAAAACAATATTCTTTTGATTTACAACCACAATTCGTCTTGATGGATGGTAATCAAAGGCTAAAAAGACATTACTCGCAAATTTTAAAGTATAATTAGTGGAAAAAGTAGTAGTTTTAACTTTTTCTACTAATTGAAAATTACTACCACTAATTTTGAAATTAGAGGAACAAATTTCTACGCTAATTGAACCCACTAATTTATTTTTATTCCACAATTTCGAGGATCTGAACGAAGCTTTATAATCCTCGATTAAAGGTTTACATTGCTCATTAGTACAGAACGACATGATATTAAAAATATATTCAATTACATGATCATTAGCGCCTGGTAACGCTAATGATCAAGTATACTAATAAACATTATTTCTTGTCCAGATTATTTAATTTCACCCGCATTTAACTCGCATTTAATTAGTTTTATAGACATAATCTACAGGATATATTTTGTTTTTATTTCCTTCTAGCTAACGCCTATAGGAACGACGATTTTTCAAAATATCAATGCCAAAGACAAAGATACCGGAGTGAATGGACAAGTTGAATATTCCATAATCAAAGGTATAAATATCTTATTTTAAGTAACTATAATTAATCATATATCTATATTGGTTTAATCAAAATAACTTACGACAATGCTTATTTTACCTGTCTTTATATAGAAAAAAATATCTATAAAGAAAGATATACAATTGGTCCAAAAATCTTCAGTAAACTGGTGTAAAGAGTTTTCTTTTACATAAAATGTTAAAGGAAATTGTACAATTTGTTCAAAAATATTCGATAAACTGTTATACCTTAAGGTTTTTAAAGAATAAAATGTAAATATAGACTCAAAGGTTTCGAGTAAAGTAATATTAATAATAACATTGTTTTAATATAATTTAGGAACCGATATACCACCAGACGAAGGTATGGGACGTCAAAGGATCCACAGCGAAGATGGATACGGATACTTTAGTATAAATTATCCTCACCAGGGTCAAGTTACAGTTAACAAAACTCTGGATTTCGAAAAAACCCAGAGATACTTCCTCACTATTTTAGCCACGGTAAGTAGGTATGCGAATATATCCAGCAAAGATATCAAAAATGAAACACACTGTATCACTGATAATTTTATATAAAGAAGGAAATGCAACAAAAAGGCAATATAATATTATTTTTTCAGATAAAAAAACGAGATTTGTTATATATTAGTATATGACATAAATTAGTATTGATTGACGTATTTAGTTGTTTTTGGTCACTTCCTCTTTGGTATATTTTTACATTATTCGATAGAAAATGACACTCTGAATAGGATGGATATATCATATGTCAAATATTGACATTTTCGCTTAAAAACAAATCGTATTTTAAATTTCAATCTATAGTACCATGGATGTGTTAAAAACACTAATTTTTAATCAAGGGGCCGTGACTTCTATGAGAATACTTTTTGTTTTATAAGATCTTTCCAGACTAATCTGTCTTCAGCTCAATGGATAGCTGAGTTTAGGGGTAGACCCGTTGTTTGTCTTACTTGATCGATCCATTTTGTTGGGGACCGACCTCTACATCTTTTTTCTTGGACATCACCAGTTATAATATTTTTTTCCATGTTGTCGGCAGGTCTTCGAGCAATATGTCCAAAGTACTCGAGAATGCGTTTCAGACAGATAGCCGAAAGAGATGCTGAGCTCAATAACGAACCTAACCTAATCTACCTGTCCAGGGTATTCTCAGCATACGTCTGTAGCACCACATTTCAAAGCTGTCTATCATGCGCCTTGTCATCCGATGCTTTGATGGTCCAGGATTCCACTCCATAAAGAAATATTGAGAAGAAAATTTTATGCAGCAAATTCTTTTTTGTGTGTGTTGTTATCAATCTGATCTGCCATATTCTTGTAAGACGCGTTGTGGCAGTTTTTGCTAACTGTATTCTGCGTCTAATTTTTATTTTACAATTTTACAATGTTGATATATGATATGTCATTCTATTCAGAGTGCCATTTTCTATCGAATAAAGTAAAAAAATACCAAGGGTGTCATTTAAAAATCAAAAGTTGTAGTCATTTCCGGTGAAACAGGAAGTGACAAAAAACAATTGAATACGTCAATCAATCTTTTGAACATAACTACCACTAATTTTGTCTTTCTGAATGCTTACATTGATATTACAGAAAGAAACTTTTACGCTAATTGAAACCACTAATTTATTCGATTAATTTCGAGGTTATGAATGAAGCTTAAGTTTAGAGGATTGCATGTTCCAAACTAAAAATATGCAATCAATGCTGCAGTAAGACAAATTAGCCAATAAAAAAGCAGAATTAATTTTATGTTGCGTAACATTGCTTTAATTGAATTATTAACGCCAAGTAATTAAGAAATAATGAAATTATATAACTTCCTCAAAGTAAAATGCTAGCGATAAAACAATAATATGAACGTAAAAACTAATAAGACCTGCCTGAGAGAAACAATAGTCATTAAAAGATATAACTTTACATGAACTAAGAATAGACTATTAGTTTTTACGATTTTCTCACAATGGGAAATGTGGAAATTTTTATTTAAACCGGTAGTAAGTAGTTATTTAGTTAGGTATATTTTTATATACCCTCTCAGGGCAAGCGAAATCTTGGGTCGGTGTTTTGTACTTTTTCGCGAAAATTTTGGATTTTTTATTTATATTTTATTTTTTTTGTACGCAAAAAAACATCATTGACGTATTTCTGTGGTCGAACTATAACTCAATTTGACCGCATTTTCAAGCTCCAGAAGAGAGCTGTTCGATATTCACTGGGACTAAACAGCAGAACTCATTGGCAGGACTTTTTTTAAAAAATTAAAAATATTAACTCTTCCTTCCTTATTTATATTTGAATGCGTTTGCCTAATACGTAAGCATGTATCAGCTTCTCAAGAAAGGCCATCTCACACTTATCCACTCAGGAACGCGGAGCAAGATCTTTATCTACCTGCCCCACGCTCAGAGTTAGTTAAAGTTCAATATTATACAACTCGAAAAAATGCACAATCACCTGCCATTTGAAATCAAATCCATAACATCATTTTCTTCATTTCGCAAAGCATTGAAATCTTATTTACTAGACAAGGCTTTCTACGCCGTAAATGACTTATATTTTGATAATCGAATTTGATCTTGTAAACACTGGTCTAATATTTGCTAGTACTATATTTACCATTGATATGAGGTCATTGATATTTAGTAAGTATAAACTTACTAAATATTCTGGAATCTTGTTTTTATTTTTTTGTTCTTTGACATTGTAAACATTTATAAATGTTTTTTTTAAACAATAAGACTGACAATGTTATTTGTATAATGTTTTGTAGTCTCTTTTGTTTGTTTGTTTGTTAACTTTACCTTTGTCTACAAATTGTAAAATTTGTTGACAATAAAGGCACTTTATTTATTTATTTACTATCAGTTAAAATACTTGCACTTATTTCTGGGACACCCTGTATTTAAAGTAAAATAACTTGGCGACCAGGGTGCATCATTAGATTAAGAATAAGGTCGTGCATCTACCATGTACCTGTGAATGCGGTGAGCCGGAAAAGGCAAGTTGGACACTCTTTATAGGGATCGGCAAGACAAGAAATCTTGTCTTGACAAGCAATTTCTTGTCTTGTCAAGCAATTTCTTGTCTTGTCAAGCAATTCTTGTCTTGTCTTGAAATATTTTCAAGTATTATTAAAAATCTTGTCTTGGCCATTTCTTGAGAGTTGATTTCTTGTCATGATTCAAGAAATCTTGAAATTTCTGGATATCTTGACAAAGGGGAACCCCCGTTTAAAATTCGTTTATTAAAGGGAACCCCCTGTTTAAAAGTCGCGGTGAGATTGGTTAATGTGATGTTTATGCTTTATGCGTAAAATCGAGGGTCGTGCATCTAATTTTCAAAAATTCAAAAACTTTGGGCTCATTATACTACAGTAGCCCAAATCATCAGATTTACATAATTTTGTTAATTATTATTATCTAACATTAAAATGAGTGATTGTGATGGTTCCTTGAGCAGCAAATCTGAGCCATTCGTAATTGAATCTGGTGCAGAACACCTACCACCTCAGACACCTGGACGTAGAAGTTTAATTAGTGACTTTGACAGTAGTGACAGTGATAGTACTACTACTTCAGGGGCGGGAAAGTGAAATAGCAAAAGCGGTTCCACCGTTTCCACGGAAATCTCAAATAAAATAGTTCCAGCCCTAGCCACTAGGTGGTAGTGCAATTAATTTTTAGGTTAAGAACTTGCTACTAGTTATTGCCAAATGGCTGTAAATCAGATTTTTTGTAGTTTCCATAGTTTCCAACGGCCATTGTCATATTATTGTCAAATTCTCAAAAAATTGTCGTTGTCATAGCGCCAATCATAATATTATCAAATAAATGATTTTCAAAACGTTTTTCAAACTATAATTTGTTATATGTGTTTTAATTAGACAATTCCTTGTGTTTCTGGCCCTAAAAATATAATGTAAGTTTTTATTTTTGCCATCATTTAAGTACCTATTTATATTTACTCCATTTACAAAACTTTGAGCGTATTACGTTGGTCTTGTTGTATTATAATAAACGATGTTTTATTATTTGACTTATAAATAAGAACTTTAAATAATAAATAATATTTCACATGTTTGGCTTTAATTTTATTTAATAATTGTATAATTATACTGTTAAATCTTATTTTTACACATCACAACGATACTTGTTATTAGTATTGTTGAATTTGTGTAAAAAATAATATTTAATAATCAAATTTAATTATTTTAGAGTAAAATTCAATAAATACGCTCATTTAAAAAGCCCGCGCTTCGATCCATTTATAACAAGCCCTACTCAATAGATGGCGCCACTTCTGTAGGACCATTTCTCAGTATGGCAGAGTCCATTCTTTTTCTAGCTAGGTATATTCTTTGACTACTACAGATAAACAACAATGACAAAAGCTACTCTACTTCAGTTTCGTACATTAAAATGTATTATTTTTTTTATTTTAAAAGTTTTACGTTAATTCAAAAGTTTGTATGCCACAAGTAGATCCGCTTTGCAAAGTTTTTTATTCTAATATCGTAAGCCATAACAAATCCAAAAATTATAAAAAAAAGCATTCAAAAATTAAAAAATGATTAGGCATTAAAATAGGTTCCAAATTAATTTGGCCACAGTATGTCAACTTTGGACATCCGACTTTGGACGTACCTACTTATGTCAACTTTGGGCATTGGACATCCGACAAAGTGCCGCTTCGTACAAATATTTTTTTTGCTTTATACCTAAGTACTCGTAAATGAGTATTTCCTTTTATATTTTATATTTTCAAGAAATTTCAAGATTTTCTTGATTTCTTGTCAAGAAATCTTGATCTTGAGAAGTAATTTCTTGTCTTGTCTTGAAACCAAAAATCACTTCTTGTCTTGATCTTGTCTTGAAATCAAGACAAGATCAAGAAATTATTAAGAAAATGACGACCCCTACTCTTTTAGTACAATTTAGTGTAATGTTACACGTATTAAGTTTTATAATAAGTCTATTAAATAAATAATTAAAAAAATACTATAGAAACCCAACAAACCCGCCTCTGATTTATTTTTTTAACCTTCCGACCTTATTGCAAATAAGATTACACCGCGCTGTCATAGATAGTTATCTGAAATGAGTTTGCCAAGTGTGATGGATGATCTACAATTTGCTGTCTTGCTGGTGGTAATGGTTGGGGTTCAAATATAATATTGGTTGTTTATGGTTTGCCCTATATCCTTAAAAAATTAGTGTATAGGATTGGATGGAAATAATGTTTCTTTTGTACAGGGGGCTCTAAAATAAGTAAGATAAACAAGGGGGGACAAGGTCTTTTTTTGCAATAAAAATAGTAATTTGTTAAAACGACTCGATTTATTTTGTTTATTATTCTAAATTCAAACATTACAATATGATCTAGACAATTTTACTATATTTTTATAACTTTGCAAACAAATCACTTTTGATAATAGCTTATTTTGACAAAATCAAGCTAAATTTGCTGACAACTATATATTGGGACAGCACAACAAGAAATTTGTTTAATACGGAGTTGCATCACCTTTCGCCTTAACAACTGCCTGAACTCTTAATGGCATTGTATTTACTAAAGATTGGCACATTTGAGGAGAAAAATTATCCCAAATTTCCTGCAGTTTTGTCCGCAAATCAAAAATTGTTCGTTGAGGGTGGTTTCTTAAATATTGTTTCATTTTATGCCACACAGTTTCTATAACATTGAGGTCCGGACTACTTGAAGGATGGGATAGAACTTTTGTATTATTATTACCGAACTAATTTTTAGCTGATCTTGCTGAATGGCACGATGCTCAATCTTGTTGGAAAATATAGTCTTCGTTTGGAAACAATTCTTGAGCACTAGGCAAAAGTGAGGTCTCAAGAATATGTTGATATTTTTGGGCGTTAACAGTGCCATCTATAAAATTTAATTTGCCCAAACCTCTTGCTGATATGCAACCCCAAACCATAATCCCCTTAGGAAATTTAACAACCCTCTTTAAGCAATATTTATGAAAGGCTTCTGCTTTATTTCGTATTATTCGTTTTCGATGATCTCCAACGCAAACATCAAATTTAGACTCATCACTAAATATGACCTTATTCCAATCATTATGTGTCCACGATAATTTAGATTTTGCCCAATTGTAGCGATTTTTCTTTTCCATTTCTGTCAGTAGCGGTTTTTCTTTGGCCTAAATAAAAATTTGTGTCAATAATCTTCAGGTAATTGATTATCCACACAAAATAAAGTTTACCTTGTAAAACCCCAGACCGCATTTGTGGATATATTTTCGGCAACATTCTCTTGATATATTTAAACCAGTTACAGTATTCCATTTAACTGTTACTTCGCGAAGAGTACTTCTTCTCGCAGACTTGCAACTTTTTACTAAATTTCGTAAATCTCTCTGAGATACAACTTTTTGGCCTTCCCGAACTTTTACCTCTAACGTCTACGTTGGCAGATTCACCATATTTTTTTATTACATTAAAGATCGTGGTTGTTGAAATAGGTACTTAAATCATCAGAAATTTTTCGAATTGTTTTTCCAGTACTGTATTGACGAATGATAATTTCGCGTAGTTTTTGATTTGTAGCTTTTCCACGGACCATTACTTTGGATTAAATTAACAAAATTGAAAATTAAAAAAATTAAAATTTCTTACAGTAAATCTCAGTATCGAGTCACTTACAAGCTGTCAATGCTGAAGTAAACAGTTTGCCACATTTGTGACGTTTATAGCAAAGCCGCCTATGATTATATTAATTATTTTAAAATACTTGTCCCAACATTTAGTTGTCAGCAAATTTGTCCCTTTATGAACAAAATCCGCTCACAGTTTTGTTGTCGAGACCATTTGCGTTCAGTAATTCCTTCAAGTAGCCTAAAGTATGTGGAATTGGAACACTTGAGAACAACGAAGATACATCAAAGGAGACCAAAATTTCACCTTCATGCAATGTTATATCTTTAATTTTGTTAATGAATTCAATATTATTTTTAACTGAGCAATAAGATTCATGATCAGGTAAATTTTCGAACTCCCTTGATAACCATTTTGCCAAATTATAAGTCGGAGAACCTACAGCCGAAACAATTTTTCAGTCATTTTGAAAAACCAGGGCAATAATTCCATAATAAATCATAATAACGCAAAGGGACATAAAGGGTCGTTACTTAGGTCACTTTCCCATTATTGCAATAAAATTGCTATGAGTTTTTTACGGCTATTAAGCTATCTTGTACAATTCGCACTAAAAGGGGTTCTAAAAAGAACAATGTTCGACTGCAAGGTCTGCTAGTAAACACTTTCAGGCTTAAAGTATCACAACACTATTTATTTAAACCAAAAACTCGTAATACACAACTAAAGTGTCAAAACGAATGACAATTTCAGGAAATAAATAAATAAATATGGCAACTTGACATTTTTTTACGGCAGAGCTACCACCTGATTCCCCAGCGGGAAATTTTAAAATTCAAGTTAGTCAGCCCGGCGCCGAATATATTCATGGTTGGCAACAATGAATTTAAAGATCGCGTTGTTTAATTGATATCAAATATACATAAGTTTTTATTTTAAATCAATATAATAATAAATATCACCGTTTGTAGGACAAGTCTAAAGATGAGAGGCAAAGATTATCATCGACGACAACACTTACGATCAACATTAAGGATGACGATGATCTACCACCTTCGTTCATCTACAAAGGATGCATGTTGCTAGACGGATCCTGCATTAATCCAGAGTATTCTGCATCGGTAAGTGTTGTTATCGTTTTGATATTAGTGAACTTATTTCTATCTGTAGAACGGTTTCAATAAACTAATCATATACGTTGATTTGTTTTCACTCTACATCTTCAAGAAAGTTTAAAAATGTTAAATAAATAAATATCTCTATTTGTCGATTTAGACGTGACATAAGGAAATGAAATAGTCTTATACACCTTCTACACTATGCGGAAAACCGTCCGAAGTAAGTCAAGGTCGTGTTTCCTCTTCTAACTTTGTCTTGTTTCGGCTTATCCTAACTTTGTCTTGTTTCGGCTTAACAGGCGAAAAATCTGGGAGTTATAATAGACAGATCCTTTGCCTATAGCAGGCATGTATCGTCCTGCATTCAAAAATCATATGCTGGTTTGAGACAACTGTATCCTCACCGGTATTATCTGAGCCATAAGCTCAAGGCTAACTTGTGTAATGCCCTAGTTTTGTCGCATTTTTCTCATTGTGCTCCATTGTATTCGCAAGCCTTAAACACTCATGAAGTGTATCGTATACAAAAAGTGCAGAATACATGTTTGAGATATATTTTTAATCTAAGAAAATTTGACCATGTTTCGCATAAACTTCGAGAATTGGAGTGGCTCAGTATGAAGAATAGGCATCGTTTGGGCACACTGAGTCTGTATCAGTTTATTATTACTACCCAAGAACCAACTTACCTGTTTGAGAAGATTCAACTTAGAGAGAATGCGCATAGTGTTAATATTAGAGCAAAGGACACTCTTACAATTCCCTACCATAAGACCTCTCTTTTTGAAGGTTCGTTCACTTATTGTATTGCGAAATTGAATGCGAAATTATATAATGAATTACCTTCAAACCTAAAAACTCTAAATATTCATACATTTAAGATGCATACCCGTCGATGGCTTTATGAAAATCAGTAGGTCTTTTTTTTTTCTTTATCTAACTGAAACTTTTTTTTTCTTTGAAATTGAGTTTTTTTTCACTGTTTTTTTTTATTGATTTGTTTTGCTTATTATTATTATTATTTTTTTATTGTTCTTTTTTCATATGACATATTTTAATCTTTTTCACCTTTTACTATTTTACTATTTTTTTTTGTACTTCATTCGGATGCATTCGGAGTTAAATGGAAGAGCAGAAGCATTATGCTTCTGAATTTCGCTCCACTCCAAAATTGGGTTTTGATTATTTATATGTATATATATATTTTGGTGGTGTAATTATTTAATTTCTATGATTTCTTACTATTTTAATGTATTAATAATTAACTGTATTTTATTTTACTTTTTTTTTGGAAATAAAGGCATTATTATTATTATTATTATCCGCGGTTGTTTCGGCTTGTCTTGACCTACTTTCATTTGTTAAACGAAACTAAAAATGAAATTGTGGAGAAGGGCGTTGGGAATTTTTTTTGCGGATTTCGGTTGTCTCCTGTTGTTCCGTTCAATTTTGTTTTATCTCGATCTACTTCTACGACGCACAGTGATGCCAAATACGCGAAAAGTGGCAAAAAAATACTTTCTCAACTTACTACTACGTTTTTTAAAATAATTTCTGTTAAATGTGGTTTTCTAAGTATATAAGTGATGTTTTGAATTCAGAAAATTGAATTATATGTAGACAGAGTGTACTTAAATTGACTGTAAAAAAAATTGGGTTGTAAAAAATTTAATCATATTATTTTGTCTTTAATAGCATATTAATTTAATACTATATTCTTTGTAAAGTTACCCGTCACCTGCAGGTACTATACTTTAAACCTGTTGTACCTGCCAGATGGCTAACGTTGATTTTTAAAAGGAATATACAATAATTCTTTACGGATGAAAGGTTCACTTTAGGTGGGTTTTGTAAAATAAAAATACGGGTACAATATTGCGTAGGAAAGTTAAATACAAAATACTACTTCGAACGTATAAAAAAACAAAGTGAATAAAATTTCCATCTCGGCAGTTGATTAATGATTTTACATTACAAAAATATCATCAGTAAATGCACGATTTAAGGAATGAAAAGTTAAAGGTGTTACATCTGGTAATTAATTATTGCAAAGTGGATTGTGACTCACGTAATCCTGAAATGTTTATAAGGAGTTTTATCCACTCATTTGAAGCGTTAAAAGTGAAATTTTATCTCTATTCTATAACATTTTCTTTGCCTAAATTGTGACCCTGAAACCGTTAAAAATTCGGGAAAGTAACCTAATGTTTGTGCTTCCTAATTTTTGCCTGTTAAAGATGGAGGTGAGATAGTTTGTAAGGTAAGTTAAAAATTTTGTATTTAATTTATGAAGTACTACATCATAATAACACTTTTGTTTTAGTCTTTTCCTTGATAATTGATATGTACAGTACGTCTGTCCGTTCTGTAGCTACGGGGTATCCGTGAGAGGGGAAACGATATTCTCTCGATGTTTTTCGTAAAAAATTAGACGACGCGTCCCATCAATAAAAATTCAACAAATTTGCAAGTAGCCAATAAAATGAGTGGGCGGAGCGATTTGCGGTGACGTACTCGTCAAGTCAACGTATAAAATATATTGCTGTTTATTTAAATGTTTTTTGTCCGCATTCCTTTTATAGACACAGAGCCAGCAGACGTACTGTAATATCTACTTTCTTAATTAATAATGAATCACGAGTTTTTGGTAGTGTTTAGTGGTCGGACAGCAAAAACTCAAGACAAACGCAGACCAAAAGAAATAAACGTTGTCCGACCAGCGGTCAACGTTAAATTTAATATATTGAGAGGTCGGACGGTAGCCCCTTTTGTAGCCCCGTCGTATTGCAAAGTTCAGACTGATTTTTGTGAGATTTTGGTAAATTTTCAAGCATGAAGCTCAAAGTAAAAGAGAGTTTTTATCAATACAATAAAGATGCATTAGAAAAAACAGTCCAAACTGTCCGAGAAGAGGGAAAATCGCGTAAAACATGCCGTAAGTACAGGGTTCCAAGTCAATAAGTAGTAACAATTATGCGACGGACGTTTGCAAACGAATGGAACCAGAACTTGTTTTAACCAGAGAAATTAAAAAAAAAAGTTGTTACCTGGATTGAAAAATTAGTAGACCTTTCAAAACTTTTTATTATTTTCAGCTTAGAAAAAGTTCTTTCTGGTTCAGCGGATGTTATAGGGAGAAGGGAGAACCAGAAACACACAACTGGAATACAGTGCAAATCTCAGGTATACTGCTAATCAGTAATTGGGTTTTTTCAAAAATAAAATCAGAAAACTCTGTGATACTGTGAAAATTTTTGATTTTTTCATAAAGTAAATTTTTTGCTTGAATTAGCTCCGATGCTAGATTTTGTATTAGGTCGTTAAGATATTTGTCTACTAATACTTTGGCATTAGCTAAGATATCAGATTCCTGTGATTTCAACAATGTTTGTGGATTTAAAATTTCAAATTTTGAATAAATATTTTGAAATGCGTTGATTCTAAACTGAGTTATTATTATATCCAATTATATCCAAACAAGCATAAAAAATTGTGACTTTTAAACGACTTTTAGGATTTTCAATGGGCTCATCAGCTGCTATTTCATCAAACAAAAGTTTGACTCTACGAACTCTTTTGTTTTTTAACTGAGCTTCAATATTCCAAGATTTCGCAATTGAAATTGATAGCTCATACACACTTTCAAAATTGTCCCTAAAATTTTCTATTTTAACAAGAACTCCTGATATTAGATCTGTGGCCAGTCCTATGTCAATATCATTTTTGTAAGCATTTTGAAAGCAAGTTAGTATTTTCCAATATTGTACCTTGGAAATTTAGGAAGAAAATAAATTCGAAATTTTCTATTTTATCTTGTAACATCTTGGCCTCATCTCTATCAGTACGTTTTTTCAGTATTAGCGTTAAATTCGATAGACACTTGACGACGAACAAAAAATTAGTTTTTATTGATAGTATGCTTTCGCTCTTGACGACCATCTAGTTGGACATAATTTTTTTAAAGTTAAATCAACAGTTTTACTATTTTTTATTTCGCAGTTTAGGCTTTGCCAACGGGATAGACTTTCACTGAAAAGTATATAAAGACTCAGAAACGTGTCAAAAAAAAATTCTTATATCGCTAATATTGTTCACAGGGTCATTTAAAATAAGTGTGCTTATGGAAAAAGTCTACCGATATGATACTTTTAATCAAAAACGCCGTGAAAACATGATAATCGCGGTTGGAACTAAACCAAATTCCCAAATTAACCCGTACAATAATTATTATTATTATACCTGTAGAGAATAATGTAGTGTAAAATAATTGTTTTATATCAGCCTAATTATTGCTGAAAAAAGGATTGTGTACCTAAATGTAATTTCAGTTTTCGGTTTGTTTGAGAATTGTTTTTGAAGGATGAGGTGCGGGGGCTCCCAATTTACCCGGGCCCCCCCGCCACGCGCCTGTTAACATTTCAAAATCAAAACTTTATAATTCGGGAATTGTTGAATTTAGGTACATTTTGAATTTAGGTACATTATGTTGTATTACGATTACAATGTACCTAAATTCATACATCTATAAATGCTAACTTGAGAACTAATGTCAAAGTAAGTATATTAAGTATCACAGTTTCCGCAGAGTGACATCGTTAAATGAAACAGAACACATCGAAATTAATGAAATCGAATTGTTTAAGTGATATTTTTAAACGTCAATAACTCGGAAACGGTTGGTTTGAGGTACATTGGATGTATTTCGATTTTTGCTTAGAATCGAGGGAAAAACCGAAATATGCAATAATATACAGGGGGTTCCATTTAAAAAAAATAAACTTCGATGTGCCACGACTTTATGACCGACCCTGTATACTTAAATTTATTACCCGCTAATATATTTTTAAAAACACTATAACTTTTATATTTGACTTTTTGCGATAGCTCTTATATCTTAGCTAATAATCGACTGTTCCCATACATATCAGCGCCCCTGTATATACCTTGTTTCGTACAATTTTCGTATCTTGTTTTCGAACAATCAAGGTTTGACTATTTACATT